TTTAGTTTGTAGAAGAGTTAACGCTACAACTGCTGGATCCATTTTTTTTCTTAGTAATATTACTATACTACTTCCTTTTCATGTTCTTCACCTCTTCCTCCTCCACCTTCATTTTTCCTGAAGGAGTGTTTGGTCTAGTTATGGAATTCAGTTCCCCTTTGAATTCAGAAACCCTGAAACTTGACTCCATTTTAAAGATAGGATTCTGATCCCTTTTCCTCCAATGTGAACATAAATACATACAAAGAGAAAACAATTATTTTTCATTAGAAAACAAAAACATTTAAGATGTTCAAAACTGGAAATAGATTTAAAAATCAATTCCACCAATGTCATACAATTTTATTTTTAAATGTTTCATTCCAGCATTTCTCCATTTGTAATAGTTTTACATTTTGACATCTTATTTTTTGTATTTTAATTTTTTATTTGTTCTTAGATCTTAAGCACTTTCCCATGTTGCCTGAAAGTTTTCGTAACTGTATTTTTGTTCAATCAAATAGGTGTATATAAAGCATTAATCATTATTTTTAGATAAATAAATTCCATACAATTTTTTACCTTTGTAAATAATGTTAAATAGGTATTTGGAGGCATATAACTTTTTCTTCTTTTAGAATGGCTCTTTTGGATAAATCCCCAGGATTTATACTGTATTTTTAAATATAACATTTTTCAGTGACTTTTCTGTTTTCAAAGTTTAGCATGTTTTACAAAAGGAAGCATACCAAAACTTGGACAGCAGTTAGGAGGGAAATGCATTCAAATACACAGTTTTTTATTCTCTATTTTCTTATGAATCATAATCAGTTTTTAAACTAAGAGTTGCTATGAAGTACAGAAAAATAAAAATTCACATTGCCTGACATGTTTGCTTTGACTTCAAAGTTTTTGCAGTAGTTTGTGTTTTGTTTGTTTTGGGTTTATTTTATTTATTTTGTTGTTGTTTGTTTTTTCACTGATACTGCCTTGGGATGTTTTGTTTCTTCCTGCAACTTCAAGTGTTAGTGTGGTTCTTTTAAATGCCTATAAACTTTAAAAAGTATCAATTAGTCCCAGCTTAAAAGTAGATGCAGAATTTTCTCCTATCAAGTAAATAAAGATAATTACTTGTTAAAGATAACTTATAAAGTATAAGAACTACAAGGGATATTTTCCTCCTTCAAATTATCATCCAGTCAAAAGTGTTCAGTGTTTAAAATCTTAAAAAGAAATAGATTTATTCCAGAAATAAAAGGGACTCATGGGGAGATAAGAACTTTTATCAACAATTATTTGATTTTCTGTGAGTCAAGTCATGTATGTGGCTCAACTTCTCAATTTTTTGTTTTGGCTCCTGTTTACAATGTAGAAACTTTGAGATAAGGAAAGGGATGATTTATT